CTGCTTTTAGAAGGAGTGATATTGTGGCATCCTCTGCTTGAGTCTGTGGTCCCACTGTATACTATAACATTGTTGCCTTGACCTCAGACTACATACCTCTGCTAGCACTCTGAGCACAATGTAATTCTCTAGGTAATCTGTAAAGTATAAGTAAGTACTGTTTTGTTTTGTTCTTTTTTTGTTTCTATAATCTGCATTGGTGGTCCTCAAAGTGTGGTCCCCAGACCAGTATCACCTGGGAACTTGCTAGAAATCGCTAATTCTTAGCAGGCCTACTGTATCAGAAACTCCTGAGGTTGGTTCTAGCAATCCTTTGAGCAAGCCTCCCAAGTGGTGCTGATGCAAACTGAAGTTTGAGAACCATACTCTACAAAACTTAAAGAAAAAGTAATAAATTAAAATGTTAATTGATGAGTTAAGGAATTAATCATGAAATCCTATTTCACATACTTTTCATAATCTCCACTCAAAGTAATATTTATTCATTTACCAAATGAATATTTTTTTCATTGGAAAGTACACTTGAAATTGGAGGTCAGTGCCATCTGCTGACCTGATCCAGAATTGCAGGTTGGCCATCACTTTCTAGCAAGAGTCCTATAAAGGAAGGAGGGAGGAGGGAAAGAAGGGCACACTTTCTGAAAGTTATATGGCAAAAGAGGCATTAAGCTTCTGTAGACAGAGCCCATGAGCATTAACTCATGCGGAAGAATGTCTCCTTTGGTCCCTTTCTAAAATTCAACACAGTTACGCCAGGAAGCTGCTCATGCCTGTAATCTTAGCACTCTGGGAGGCTGGAGGTGGATTGCCTGAGCTCAAGAGTTCGAGACCAACCTGAGCAAAAGCAAGAACCTGTCTCTAATAATGGTTGGGCATTGTGGCCGGTAGTCCCAGCTACCAGGGAGGCTGAGGCAAGAGAATCACTTGAGCCCAAGACTTTGAAGTTACTGCATGTTATGACACCCCAGCACTCTACAGAGAGTGACAAAGTGAGACTCTGTCTCAAAAAAATATATAAGTAAATGGTTGAATGGATATGTGTGTGTGGTTATAAGCATTAAGCTGTATGTAACCTTTTTATATTACAATATTATTTAACATCTTTTAATGTCCCAAATTATATCTTTCATCATTATTTTTGTAAATCAAAGCACAACTAAGTATATCCCATGCTGTCATAATTTTACCCTATCTTGCAAATTAAAAATTAGTGTACTGTCTGTTTTGCTGGCTCTAGAAAACACTGAAGGAATATGAATTTCCAAAAGGCATTATCTTGTATCTCCCCTCCTACTATGTCTTGTCACAGGACAATTGATTTGTGAATATTCTCCAGATATGTTTCTGTGGGCTTGTTTCTAATTTAAAAGATGACATATGTTCTTGTAAAAATATATGTTCTTCAGAAATCTTGTGATCTCCATACATACTGGCTCCCCTTCCCTTCTACCATGAGTGGAAGCAGACTGAGGCCTTAACCAGATCCAGATACTGGCACCATGCTTCTTGGACAGCCTGCAGAACAATGAGCCAAATAAACCAAATTTTCTCTTCATAAATTACCCAGTCTCAGGTACTCCTTTACAGGAACATAAATGGACTATGACAATATCTTAAAAATGCATACATATTTATCCAAATATTAAGTATATTCTTTTACAAACTTGTGATCACCTTCTTTATACTGTGTTGATATTTACCTGTTTCATGCAGTATGAGAACTTGTTTGGCATTTCATCAGTTATGTTGTTGAGTATATTTTCAAATGGTTCTTTGGGTATCTATACTTCTTATGGGTATTTTCTGTTATAATCTTTGGCCCATTTCTCTGTTGATTGAGAGATCAAAGATATTAACTCTTCGCCTACAATATAGGTTGAAAATATTTTCTCCTAGCTTTTTATATACTTTGTATTTTAAGGTTTGCACTACCAATGGTATTTAAATGTATGCAGTCATTTATCACCCAATGATGAGGATACATTCTTAGAAATGAGTCATTAGGCTATTTTGTCATTGTGCAAACATCAAAGTATACTAACACAAACCTAGATGGTATAGTCTACCCATATGTAGGCTATATGGTATAGTTTCTCTTGGGCTACAAATCTTTATAGTATGCAGCTATACTGAATATTGTAGGCAACTGTAGTGCAATAATTAATATTTATGTCTCTAAAGATATCTAAACATACAAAAGGCACAGTAAAAATATGATATAAAAGATAAAAATGGTATATCTGTATTGTACATCTCAACTGTAATCTTATAGGGACCACTGTTATATATGCAGTCTATCCTTGACCAAATTGTCATTATACAGTGAGGAGAGAGAGAGAGAGAGAGAGAGAATATCAGTAAAGTTCACTGTTAAAAAGAAACCATCATTAATACACTTAAGATTATTGACTGTCTGCCCAGATACAGATAAAGAGCAGTAATGTAATGGCACTCTGTATAACTAGAGGTTTTTAGTTTCCGGGCATTAATTCACAAGGTTCTTTCTCTGCAGAAAATTATTTACTTTCTCATAACTCCTATACCCTGATCTCAATAATGTCAACAATGAGCAGTAACATGAAGAACCATAAGGATTAAATTAGATAAAGTGTAAAGTACCTATTAATGGAAGTCCTTGTGTAAATGTCAATAACCTTTTTTCAGGTCATATTCTAGAAATAACAACTCTGTTTTCACATAAACCTGGCTTTTTAACACTCCAGAGATAGCTAATCCATGGGGTTTCTTCACCTAGGGCTCCTAGTAGAAGAGTACATCTCTATAATCCAGGGGTCCTCAAACTTTTTTTTTTTTTACCACTTTAATGTTTTGTACAATTTAATAAATAGTTCTCTTAATGACCGCAGACATGTAAGGCTGTTTGGTAGCATTCAGAAACATCACAGTAATACTGATTTTCTCAATTGTTGTGTAAGTTACTTGTGTGAAATGGCTATCAAACCAGTAAGACTTCATTTATGTATCCATCATTTTCAGGATTGTTGGTAACCTGGGCATATTTCCCCCAAAGAACCTTGCCCCCTTGTGTCACAAGGCCCAGCTTGCTCACATTGACCTCGATGACAGTCCCTTTGGTAATAACACCCAAAGTTGTATATAATGGGGATGAGGGATTCTTCTTTACACCAAGTATTGGCAGGTGAAAGGTGGCTTTCAGCTCAGGATGTGTTACATGGGCCTTCTTGAAACACAAGCCCATTGGCTTGATGAATCTTTCATATTTAGGTGGTTTTCTTGTAAAGCCATCTCCAACAAAGCAGACTTTAGTAACCATCCTCTTCCATGCCTTCTTCTTTCTCTTTCCTGTTCGAATAACTTTTAATACTGTTTCTCCCTGGGCACGAACTTTGGGCAGAGGGACTTCCCATTTGCCCACTTTCTCTTTCCATTTTTGTTTAACCATATTGGAGAGTACTTTGGCTTGGGACTGTCCCTCTCTGTCCAACAGATAGGCAGGTACTGCTCCCAGTGGAGTCTTTTCATCATTCTTTTGTTTGGTGTTTCTCTTTTCATGCATCTTGATAGTTTTTTTCATTTGTATTTGCTCAGCATGGCGCTGTTTATGGTAGAGCTTAATTTAACCTTCACACCAATCATCTTCTTTGCCTTCTTTGACCGTTCATGAGCCTTTCGACTTTATTTTTTTCTCTTTTTCTCATCGTAATCCAAGCGATGTCCATAGCGTTTACGGTGTAATTCAATATATTCATTTTGTGGCATGATGACGGTCACAGAGCCACCCAGCGCAGCCTCTAGGGTATGAAGACACTGTCAGTCTTTGGGTCTCACAGATCCATGAGCCGACTCCACCCAGGACCACCGCAACAGGAAAAGCCTCAAACTTTTTAAACAGGGGGCCAGTTCAATGTCCCTCAGACCGTTGGAGGGCTGGACTGCGGGCCCGGGGCAAGTTGGCTGCTAAGCAGGACATGCAGCTGCAGCAAAAACACACAGTGGGCCTGATAAATGTCCTAGGTGGGCTGCATGTGGCCTGTGGGCCGTAGTTTGAGGACGCCTGCAATAAGCAATGTCATGTTGAAGGAGTACCAATGTGCACACAATTTTAGGAGAGTTTAAAACAGTAAGTCATTAAGCTTTGGAAGCCTATCATCTAAAAGGGGAGGCGATGGGTATATTGTGGGGAGGGAAAAGAGAGGAGCCCATTCCTGCTCCTGATTTGATGTGTGTTCCTGAAAAAGTATAATGTTCTGTGGGCCTATCCTTGATCATCTATAAAATGGGAATAATGGAAGGATACCTTCCTCTGAGAGCTCTGGTAGGCAAAAAAGGAGGAAACTTATAAAAATGTCGGGCATGTTGCAGTACTTGGACAAACACTAGTACTGCCCAGCCCATCTCTTATGAAAGAGATGTCTTTTAAATAAACAAAAAGCACTTCTGTCATAGAAAAAAATCCAGAAATGTAGCCACAAAAGAGAAATATACAAATATTTACCTAATGCATAAACTTTGGTGTCATTTCTGTGTTGTGAGATGAATTACCTGAGGAGTTTTGGGAAAGAAAGTAAAATAATTTGCTTTTAGTTCAGGTAGTATCTTGTCCTTTTATTTTCCTTCTCGAAACGTTTCCAAGTGAAAGGAAAGGCCCAAATGGGAACTAGAAAAGTTTCCAACTAAGTGAAAGGAAAGGCGTAAATGGGAACAAAGCAATACCGGGGTCCATGCTGAACCACAATACCGTGGATGAACTGCTTCTCCTCTGCTGGCCTCAGTCCTAACACAGAATACTTTCATTTTTTAATTTTAAAAAACACTTCAATATTTTAATGTCCTGACCATCAGCAGTACAAACACTAAAATCAAGTGGCTTTTTTTTTTTTTGCCCAGAAAAACAAAAACAGAACAAACAAAACTCCCAAACAGGAAAAAAACAAACAAAAATCCCCCAAACCACATATTAAAAATGGCAGGCTTTTTATAACAATAATTAAAGTAATAAAAACATGCAGAACTTTTTGTTTTTTTAATATATATACACAGTACAAGGCTGAAGCACCTTTGACTTTTCTCTCAAAATTTACGTTTGTATGAAAACACCACCCACCCTTGTAACAATTTGGTGGGTGTGAATGTGTGTACACACAGAGCTCTGTACATTCTCCCCCACGGAGTAGTAAAAAGGTACCTTCAGGTTGTGGACTCATTTAAGTGAGAGCTTTTCTAGGGAAAAGCCTTTGGGGTGTTGCTTTGTGTGCTCCTAGGACCTATTGCTTTGAAGAAAATTTTGCAGAAAAGTAACAAACAAATAAGCCCTTTTATTTACAATACACTCAACCTTTTCAGCAGAAGCAAGTCTCATTCCTGGGGAGGAATGGACCCCACCCCATCACTGCAGCAACAGCTAACTTCACTGTTGGGGCGCAATGACATGGCAACTCTAGAGACAGAAAAGGACCAGTCTGATCCGATCTTGTGCATGGGGGGGCTGTAAATGATAATGTTTTAGTGTTGGTGATGGAGCTTTCACTTTCAGATTAAAAAATAATGACGTGGGGGAAAGAGTAAAACCATCTTTAGAAAGAAAAACTGTGGGTATCCTACGTTGGTTGCTCGCTGAACACCACAGGGGATTCAACTGCACTGAAGTCAAGGTGAGTCCGTTCTTCTTTTCTGGAGCCTGGAATCCTTTGCTTCATGCATGGCACATTCTTAGTTTTTAAGCTTCAAACCTCCCAGTGAAAAATATTAAATATTCAAGGTAATAAAATAGATAATATTTCTATACTATAGGTTCAGCCTAGTGCAAGGGAAACCGTCCCTTGGGATATCCCTTAAAGTAGCCCCTAGGCCAATGCATTGCAGGCAAGGCAAGGCACTTCCGTAAGTGGTCCAGTTCTGCCTGGAGCCGCTCGGGTTCTGAGACAATCTTCTGTTTGTCCATCTTCTGGCTCCTCAACTCTGCCACGCTGAGGGAGAGCTGCTCAGCCGTTAGGCTGAGGCTGCAGTGCCGAGCCTCCAGCTGTCTGCACTGCATCTGCAACACCTGCCGCTCCAGAGTTTGCTCTTCTATACGTTCGTGGTAGGCTTCAAAAACTGCCTCAATCCCTTGCCACTCGTGCCAGGGGGCATCTTCATCCTCTTCTCTGTCATCGTCCTCAAAGTCATCTTCTGAGTCCTGGTCCATCTCCTGGGTGGAGGACCCCTTCCTTGTTGTGGGGGGGGCTCTTGCTGCCCGTTGTGGTGGTGTAGAGAGACACGGCTGGAGGACTGCAGCTCAGGAATATTGTAATGGACGGATGTGTCAACCTTGTGGTTCTGCTCTGAGGACAGCACAGCCATGCTACCTTTATGCTTCCGTAGGGTCTTCTGGGTGGACTGCAACACTGACTCGTGGAACTGATGTGCAAATTCTTCCACCATGAAGGGCTCCCACAGTTTGCCCTTCCAGTTGACGCTGTGGGACAACGGCACAGGAATGTCCTTGGGTGCAGTGCCCCGGATGTAATGAAGCATGCTCAGGCTCTTCTTGCCCCTGGGGTCCTCACTCAGCCTGGTCTTCTCACCACTGGCAGGGGCTGGCTCCTGGGGCCGGAGCTGTTCCAGTTTCCCAGACCCCATGGCCTTTGGGACATCAGACAAGGAAGTAGCAACAGGCTTATCTGTATCTAGAGAGGCTGGCTGTGTGACTGGTTCGCTCAGGGAGACGACAGGACTGTCCCTCAGAGCTAACACAGAATACTTAATGCAGAAATAGTGGTTATGGGCATAGGTGTTTGGGATGAGATACCTATGGATTTGACTGTAGGTGTCTTTAGTTGAGGAGTGCATAATCTTGAGTAAGCAATTTCTTTTCTTTGAGTCTCAGCTTTCCTCTTATGCTAATGAGAATTGGGATGGTATCCACACCCCATAAGGTTGTAGTGAAGATGAAATTGATCATGACATTTAAAGCACTCAGAGAAATGCCTAGCAACTTCTACTGCTGAAAACATATTTATATCATTCATCATGATTATTATTGCTCCTCCCATCCATCCAAAAGGAAAGCCATGGAGGTGGGAGTGCATTGCCAGGTAATGTAATTTTTCAGGGGTGCTGCAATTTTATCATTGTTTGGAACAGACTGGTTGACATACAGATTGAAGGAAGATTATTAAAAGCTTACTGGCAGACCCAGATAAATATAATTATTTAACATGCAAAAGATGTGGTTTTTCCAGTCTGTGCATTCAAATGTGTGTTTAAAGAAATGAGACAGTTGTAGTAGTAAAAATCAAAGTTTAATGTTTCCTCATAACAAATGATTTAATATTAATTAAAAAGTCAGCAAGACAGTAACAGCATGCAAAATGCCTATATGTCACAGTTTTATAAAATGTCAAGGCAATATATGCACAATATATCTGCACTGATACAAGCAAACAAAAAATAAGGGTATGGAAACACTGAAAAATATTAATAGTTTTTTTTGTCTAGTGATGGTAGGACTGCTGGCTATTGATATTTTCATTTCTGTGATTAAGTATTCTAATCATTTGGCAAAATGAGTACATATTTCATTTATGATAGAAAAAACTTCAGCCCCTAAAAGCTTTATTTCTTATCAAATATATAAAACATACAAAATGTTATAATAACTATAAAATGAACACTCATGTACCCACTACCCAGGTTAAGCACTAAACTTGACAAATACTTTAAGAAGTAATGATCTTGCCTGTCCTTACTCCTCAGATGTAACCAATAACCTGAATGATGTGCCCATACCCTCTATAAGTTGCTTTTATGTTAACTGTGAATGAAACCATCCTTTAAAATATTACATATATATTTTTCATACTGGCAGGTGCTTTTAGTCTCCATTTAATAATTTGATTTAACATAACATTTTCCAGTTGTATATATGTGACAACTAGGCCACATATATAATTCTTACAGGCCTAGGGAATTTTCACCACTATATAATGTTCCACATATATTAGAATGAACCACAATGGTTTTTTTTTTTTTTTTTTGGACCACTGTTAAGGGACATTTTTTTTCTTTTTGCCTACAGTTTTGCTCTTACAAACAATGCTGAAACGAACATTATTATAGATGAGGCCAGGTGCCCACATGATAGATATTTTCTACTTTCTTACTACTCAAAATGTGACCCAGGAAATAGCCAGTGTCACATCACTTGGTATATTTTGTGTATCCTCGTGAGCCCCAAAAATGCTGCTGCCAGGAACTGGGAGCTTTTTGAGGACAAAGCACCAGGCTGCTGGCCCTGTCAGGGCTGCTTCCCCTCTCCATAGACTTGAGCCAACGCTTATTGCATACATTTTTTTCTCCCCCAGAGGGAGCTTCCACCCTTTAGTTTTCATGCTTCTCATTCCCACAGAAACATCTCCCAACTTTGGCCCAGACTGAAGTAGTCACAAGGGCTGGTAGGTCCTGGGGGAATCTGTGATTCCAGTGCTTAGACATTCCAAGCAGGCTGCCTCCCAGGGTGAGGGATGGAGACAACCAGCATGTCAGCTATCCTCCATTCATACTTTTTTTTTTCCTGCTCCTCTCCTTTCCCTGCTGCCAAGAAGCATGGGTGCCCCCAGGGATCATTATGCCAAGATTCTCAGAAGAAGCTGCTTTCTCTTTGTTGGTGCACTCATCACGCCAAGCCTTCCATAGAGAGTGGGACTCACACCTTTCTTCTTAAAGACATATAGCAGACCAAGTGGTGCTCAGATTGTGAATTCTCTGTCCACTCACCCTCTCTGGTGCTGCTCACCTGGCTACTCCATCAAAGCAAAGCAAACCTCAAAGAAGTGGGACATCAAACCTGCTTGAGCACGCCATGTGCAACTTGGGACCAGCACACTTCTTCCAGGCATGTTCTGGGATTGAACTTGGGGGACCTAGGGTAAGGCCAGACCCATACCATCAGGACTCAATTGTGTTGCTTGGAGGCAGGGAGGGGAGATTTGTGAATTAATTTCAGGAGGTGCGGGAGCCTGCATGGGCAAAACTGAGAGGAGAGTGCAGTGTGGGCCAAGCTGTGGTGCACTTGCAGAGCCCCTCATTCCCCCTCAGGAAAGCTGTGTTTTCAGCATGGAGTGGAATCTTGGACAGGGACACTCCCAACCTGCAGTGCCATTGCTGATAAGCTCAGGTAGTTTGAGCTTCTGCAAGTGACCAAAAAACAGAAGGAAATCTCAGGGTAGAGAAGAAGTGAGAAAAGTGAAACCTACTCTTGATAGTCAGACCTTGAATCCCAGAGAGGCCACCCCCCCATATGCAAACTTTCTGGCTTGGCACAGACACTTCCTGGTGGCAGTCCTGTGCTGCCTGGGAGTGAACACTTGACACCTGCTGAGATAGCTCTTGTGTCCACTTTTGTGGAGCATTAATTCAGGCTTGTCTGAGCCAGCCCCACCCAGCCTCACTCCTCTACCTACATCTACTGTGGTGGAGAATGAGGAGTCCCCTCGGAGCTCTAGGGCCCTGCTTATTGCCTGGGGCATACAATTGTTTCTCCTGAGAACCCAAAACAGGTCACATGTCCCAAAAAACAACACTGCAACTGGTTCATTCTGGCAAATGCAACGCACTGGAAGGGAGGACAATTTATACAGCTCTTTACAGCATTTACTGACTCAATAATACAGGGTGTGGCTGATTCTTTCTCGCAAGCACCACCTACTGTATCAGATATTTAACTGGGTATCACAATATAATTTATGCTGTTAAGAAGACCACAGGGATTGGAAAAGAGAAAGTATTTCAAAGACCTCCATCTTCCCTCATGAACAAGAGATAGGGAATCTACTCTCACACATAGCTCACCACCACTAGTCTATAAATAAACAGCAATCTGGAAAACCATCACACCAAGAATATTCATAACCAAGAACCTATAGCCATCCAGAATCTACACCCCTATAAAAGCACTCACAAGCAAAGCCAAAGATTCTTAAACAATATATGCTGCAGAAACATGCTTAAGAGGGAGGGAGCAAAAGATCCCCATCTGAACAAAAGAAAATCCAAAGCCTAGAATTAACAGTTGCTCCAGATGAGAAAGAATTGGCACATGAACTCCAGAAGTACAAAAAATCATTAAAAGGATACCCATAAATGGGAACACTAACACTCTAGCAATAGTTCCCAACTGAGATGAAAATGTTGAAATGACAGATAAAGAACTTCAAGATGTAGGTAAGGAAGCTCAATTAAATCTAAGAGAAAATGAAAAAAGAACTCAAAGAATCCAGAAAAACAATTCAGGAAATGAATGAAAAATTTACTAAAGAGATAGACATATTAAAAGAAAAACAAGCTCGTGGAATAATATTTCAAAGCTAGGAATAAATAATCAAGATTAACATAATAATATGTAAAAGCAACAAGTATAAAGACTTTTCAGAAAAAAAAAAGAAAAACAAAATAGAACTTTTTAAAATAAAGAACAATCATTAAAATAAATGTAAAACACAATAGAAAGCTTTGAGAATATACTAGACCAAGCAGAAGAAACAATTCTGGAGCTTGAAGACAAATTTTTTGTACTAAACTAGTCAAAAATAAAGAACAAAATCTCAATCTTAAGCATGAATAAAGCTTAAGAAAAATATGGAATTATGTCAAATGGCCAAATATAAGAACATAGGCTTCCCTGAGAGAGAAGAAGAAAACATAAAAGGATTGGAAAATCTACTTTAGGGAATAATTGAGGAAAATGTCCCTGGTCCTTCTAGAAATTGAGATATCCAGATACAAGGAGCTCAAAGAAACCTATGAAAGTCATAAAAAAGAGGCAGTCATCAAGATATATAGTTACCAGTCTGGCCAAATTCAACACAAAGCAACTCTTATCTGCCATGAGGCAAAAGTATCAAGTAACTTATAAAGGAAAACCGATCAGTTTAACTGCAGACTTCGTAATGGACAGCTTACAAGTCAGAAGGGATTGGGGCCTCATCTTCAGTCTTCTCACAAAGAAGAACTGCCAACCCACAATTTTGTATACTGTAAAACTAAGTTTCCTATATGAATGAGAAATGAAGACTTTTCAAGGCAAATAAACACTGCGGGAATTTGTTAAGACCAGGCATACCCTGGAGGAACTATTCAGAACTGCATTATACATAGATCAGAACCCACCAGTGTAAAAGTACCCAAAAGCTGATGCTCAGAGCTCATATAAAATAGCAAAAAAGGAAAAACAAAACAATAAAGTACCAACACAATGAACAGAAAAGCTTCCCATATATTAATCCTATTATTCAACATTAATGGTCTAAATCAGGGGTCCTCAAACTTTTTAAACAGGGGCCAGTTCACTGTCCCTCAGACCATTGGAGTGCCAGACTGCAGGCCCTGGGATGAATCAGCTGCTAAGCAGGACAGGCAGTGGGGGCAAAAACATTCAGCGGGCCGGATAAATGTCCTAGGTGGGCTGCATGTGGCCTGTGGGCCGTAGTTTGAGAAGCCTGGTCTAACTGATCCTCTCATGAGAAATGGGTTAACTAAATAGATGAAAAATAACGACCTAAGTATCTTTTATCCCCAGGAAACACACCTAACCCACAAAGACTCACACAGTCTCAAGATGAAGGGATGGAAAAAACACTCCATGCAAATGGAACCAAAAGGGAGCAGGTATAGCCATTCTTAATTAGATAAAATAGACTTTAAATCAACTATAGTAAACAAAGGCAGAGATGGTCATTATATAATGCTAAAGGGAGCAATTCCCCAACAGGACACAGCAACATTAAATATACAGAGGGTGCCAAAATATGTACACACATTTTAAGAAAGGCAAAAATTGTATTGAAATTATAATATTCAATATATACCAGTGACAAAAGATGAACGCAAATCACTTTGAACACCTCTAGTAATTGCAGAAGTTAAATATAACCTGAGTATTATAAATGTAATATAGTTTTATCCTTTCTTAAAATGTGTATGTATTTTTGGCACCCTCTGCATATGTGCCTAACAAAGGAACTCCCAGATTCATAAAGTAAATTCTACTAAATCTGAGCAAAGAGATAAGCAGCAGAATTTTTTTTTTTTTTGTAGTTGAGATTTTATTGGTTGTGTTGAACATCAGTACAGGCATTTCAATTTGTACATGATTCTTAACATATATACCCCAAATCTAAAAAGCCATTTATTGTAACTCTTTTTTATTATTTATTTATTTATTTATTTATTTTTAGTCCTATCATTTTTTTATTGTATAAAAATATGCATATCATGGAGTCTACCATTTTAACCATCTTAAGTGTACAGTTCAGGGGCTGTAAGTCCATTCACATTGTACAACCATCACAGCCATCTGTCTCCAAATTTTTTCATCTTGCAAAATTAAAACCATACCAGTTGAGCAATATACTCTCATTCCCCCTCCCTCCAGCCCCTGACAACTACCATTCTACTTTCTGACTCTATGAATTTAACTATTCTAGGTCCCTCACATCACTGAAATCATAGAGTATTATTCTTTTTGTGACTAGCTTGTTTTACTTAGCATCATTTACATGTCTTCAAGGTTCATCCATGTGGAAGCATATGTCAGAATTGCCTTCCTTTTTAAGGCTGAATAATACTACCTCACATATCTTGTTTAATCATTCATCTGTCAATGGACACTTGGGCCATTTGTACCCATATAACCTTAATACCAAAGCTAGGAAAGGACACAACAATAAAAGACAACAATAGACCTACATTACATATGAATATACATGGAAAACTCTTTAATAAAATAGTAGCAAAGTGAATTCAACAGCACATCAAAAAAAAAAAAATGCACCATGACCTATTGGGTTTCATCCCAGTGATTCAAAGATGATTCAACATAAGTAAATCAGTAAATATGATTCAGCACATAAACAGAAGCAAAAACAAAGACCACACAATCATCTCAATAGATGCATAAAAAGAATTTGATAAAATCAAGCACACTTCCATTATAAAAATCTTCAACAAACTTAGCATAGAAGGAACTTGTCTCAAAATTATAAAAGCCATATATGACAAACCCATGGCCAACATCATGTGGAAAAGTTGAAAACATTCTAAAACCTAGTACAAGCAAGAATGTCCACTGTAACCACTTCTATTCATCATATTGTTGGAAGTCCTATCCAGAGAAATTAGACTAGATAAAGAAATAAAGGATATTTAAACTGGGAAAGAGGAGCTCAAACTACTCCTAGACCCCCATCAAAGGAACTCAAACTCCTAATAATGATATAATAGTATGATCTTGTATCAAGAAAATCCCTAAAACTCCACCAAGAGATTCCTAGAAGAAAAAAGTAAAGTCAGCAGTCTCAGGTTACAAAATCAATGTACACAAATAAGTAGCATTTCTATATACCAATAATAGTCAAGCTGATTTTTAAACTGAAGATTCAATACCATTCACAATAGCTACAGAAAAAAAAATTCTTAGGTATATACTTAGCCAAGGACATGACAGACGTCACACAGAGGACTATAAATACTTAGGAGAGAAAGTGAAGATGGTACCACCAAATGGGTAAACATAAGGACTCATTGTTTCAACATTGCTAAAATGCCCACACCGCCTAAAGTGATTTATAGTTTCAGTGAAATTGCCATTAAAATACCATATTTCACAGAATTAGAAAAAAATAATTCTAAACTTCATCTGTCATATTTCACATAATTAGAAAAAATTCTAAACTTCATTTAAAACCAGAATAGAGCCTGAATGGCCAAAGCAATCTTAAAGAAAGAAAAAAATCTGGAGGCATCACATTATCAGACTTCAAAGTATACTACAAGGCTATAGTAACCAAAACCACATCCTACAAAACTAGAGACATAGACTGGTGGAACAGAACAGAGAACCCAGATATAAAACAATATACCTATAACCAACTGATCTTCAACAAAGAAGACAACATACCCTGGTGGAAAACAGCCCTATTTAATAAATAGTATTGGGAAAATTGGATAGCTACGTGCATAATAGCAAAAGAGGACCCACATCTTTCACCATTTACAAAAGTTAATTCAAAATGGATAAAAGACTTAAATG